CTATTTGTTCGACGTGTGCAGTTTACAAATAGAATTTGTGTTTTCATCTTTTCCAGTTATGGCAGACAAAATAAGGTATGTATTTAGTGCTTGTGTATTTACTACGCTCACATAGATTTTGTTTAAATCATATTCTACTCATTAATTTGAATGCACATTGCAGGCATAATTTGACCTTACATGCATTAACTTTAATATTATCGTTAACATGTATGTGCCTATTATAGTAAAAGAATCAATAACCTTTAGTCGTTAACATTTCGTCACAACAGATCATGTAATTTGTGTTTTTTTTTACAGAATCAATTCGAAGTTCGATGTTCAAGGAAATTATGAGCCATCTGATTCGGAAAATGAGTATTCAACATCGGAAAAGAAACTCTTGGATAAATTACGTAAACGAAAACATGATGACTCTGGCAGTGAAGAAGAACTTTATGGATTCTCAGAGTCTGAAGAAGAGGAAGAAAACGATAAAAATGACTTAAATATGGCAGATAGTGATGTAGAGGGTCAAGAAAATTCTGATGATGATTTACCTGACTCCAAAGCATGGGGCAAGAAAAAGAAATCTTATTATTCTACAGATTATGTAGATGAAGATTATGGAGGTTTTGGTGATGATGAAGAAGATGCTCTTATGGAAGAGCAGGAAGCGAAGAATATACAAAAGAGACTTATAGAACAACTCGCTGATGAGGATTTTTCATTGGAATTTTTTAGTCCACCCATTAAAGAAACAGAAGTAAGAGAAGAAGTTATTAAAAGTGATTTGAGTCATATGTCAAAAAGGCAAAAATTACAAATCTTTGAAAAGGAAAGTCCTGAGTTTGCAGGTCTAGTTGATGATTTTAAAAATAAATTAACAGTTGCCAAAGATGATTTACATCCAGTTTTACAGCTTGTAAAAGGAGGCAAATTACCTAAATGTCCAGCTTCCAAATTTGTGAAAACAAATTACAACCTAATTTTAAACTATTGTACTAATATTAGTTTTTACTTACTTCTAAAAAGTCAAAGAATAAACATTCAAAATCATCCTGTAATAAAACGGCTGTATCAGTACAGGCAAATGCTAAATAAAATGGAACCTATTTATTTAGAGGTAATTAAACCACAAATAGACAAAATATTAGAAGCTGTAAATAATAGTATAGAACTTACTGTTATAGGAGACAAAAAGAAGGAAGCCAAGAAACGTAAAACTGATAAACTTTCTTTGGAACATGTACCTAAGAAATTGAAGATAATAAATGAATTGGAAAAAGATGAAGGTGAAGACACTGGAGTTTCGGATGATGATGAAGAGGATGTTATAGGTGATGAATTGTTAAGACCACAAGCTTCTGATGTACAAAAGAGCACAGAATCTGAAGAAAGTGGATTCTCAGACAATGATGAATTGGATAATGAAGATAACAAACCATCTGTATCCTCTCAAGGTCTTACTACTGATGATATTGCAGAAAAACGTGAGATTACTTATCAAATTGCTAAAAATAAAGGCCTGACACCACATAGAAAGAAGGAACAACGAAACCCGAGAGTTAAGCACAAGTTGAAATACAGAAAGGCTAAAATCAGAAGGAAGGGAGCAATACGTGAGCCGAGGTCAGAAGTGGCCAGATATAGTGGAGAAGTTTCTGGAATAAAAGCTAATGTTAAAAAGAGCATAAAGATTAAGTAGCTCATATTTGATTATAAAATAATATAAAGGAAACACAGTTTGCTATAAAATGATTTATTTCCACAATAAAGCATTATTAGATGTGAACCATGTCTTAATGTTGCCACCTGAAACAAATACCCATTTATTGATTTACTATTTAATATTAAAATATGCTTTGTACTAATGTTAAGTAAATAATACTACATTTTTTATTACTTTACAATAAAATACCAATAATAGTCCACAAAACCTACAAAAATACTATCAACATTTACCTTAAAAGACAAAAAAATATTTTATATTGTAGTTACTTACAATTTCAATACTTTGTCCTTTCCGCCGGAAGCTACATAGGCTCCGTCAGGAGACCAATCTACAGCAAATACTTCATCTGCATGTCCAGGTAAGTCTAGTTCCAGCTTCTTTGTTTTCATACTCCACACTAAAATGTAACAAGTAAATAACATTAGTTAAGTTAATAAACTAAAATTGTTTCATTAATTGCGATTTACAAAATGATAGATCTTTATATTTTTTTATGTTAGATGAATTATTGACTAATTATGTATTAAAACATGTTACTGTCTTGGAATATTACCTTTTAATGTTGAATCAGCACTAGAGCTTAGGAGAAGCCTAGAATCAGCAGACCATGCCACCATGTACACTGCTTGAACATGACCTCTAAGTGTTGTTATAAATTTGCCTGTAGATGCCTCCCAAAGTTTCACCGACTTATCAAAGGATGCTGATGCTATTATCCTAGAAAAATAGATGATCAATCAAGAACTCATTTTCATGTTTTAAGCAAAAGCGTGGCTTTTTCGTGATCATCTTGCCCTTATCCCTATGGAGGGACGGTACAGTATGTGCTGCTCCATACATTTCTATCAGCTATCATATCTGAATCATTTTGTAGTACAATGATTTTATAAATTTCTTAGGATATTTATTTTTTGTTCCTACCTAGTGTCTGGAGAAAATTTGACATCATTAATGAGCTGCTGATGTCCTGTCATTCTAGCAAGAGGTCGTTTCTCCTTTTCAGGTAGCCACAAAAATAACGTGAAATCATCAGAACCTGACACCAAACGCTCTGCACCATACGAACATGCCTGTTCGTACCTTTCAATAGCTCTTTGTTGTAGAACTTTTTCTAGAAACAATGAGTTTCAATTTATTAAAAGAGTTACTAAAAATGTTTTTAAAATAGAATTTAATTGAGACATGTTTACTTACTATCGGTAGTTGGTTCTTTTCTATCGAGTATTGGATGATATGGCCCAGTTCTTAATACATAATCTGTACTGAGAGCTAGTGTATTCACCCAATGGGCATGACCTTCTAGCGTTCGACAAAGAATACCATCGTCAGCTCTCCACACCTAAAATATTTACAAACAACTGACATATTTAATTAATTTTTCTAGAATAGAAGTGATATTTACTTTTTGACCGACTTCCTAAAAGAAGGTATTCAATACAACTGTATTGTTTTTGTTATAATATTTTTCTTCAGTATCTTTTAACTAAATTACAAATAACAATTTTATAATTATCTAATGTAAATGTATTTGTTTACTTTAATAGTTCTGTCCTGTGATGATGTATAAATAAGACCATTTCCACCCCATTTTACTGAAGTGACTGCTTTTGAATGTCCTGTTAAGCTCAGAACAGTCAAACATGTTACTGTGTCCCATATCCTGACATCACCATCTTTTGATGAACTGGCCAATTTACGGCATTCAGAATTCCTGTAAATGAAAGATCTCATTATAATATTTTAATTAAATAATAAGAGGTCCTTTGACAAACATTTTGCGTATTGTTAAATTGTAAATTATTTTGATATGATATATAGATTTAAAATGAATGACTTCCTTACATTGTTTATAAATACTTTTAGAAGACCATTAGTGTATGAAACATACTTGTTGCAGTTAATGTATGAATATGTGAGTTATAACAAACTATTATAAAACTTACTTCATATATGGTTCCCAAGCCAATGCAGTAATCCACTGTTTGTGTCCTATCATAGTTTTGCCAATTTGGTTTCCTGTTTCCGGGTCCCATATTATCAATTTACCTTGCTTACAAGCTGAGGCTAATTTAGATCCATCAGGACACCAACTGATACATAACACCCAGTTTGTGTGTCCTGGAAAATTATGAAAACACATTTGTTATCTTTAATTTTTATTGAATTAAAAAAAATCTGTATGATGTAAATATAAATATATTTTAAAATTAATAATTCTAAGGCCAGTAAATACAGCAATATTGTTACAACATTAATTTATAAATTTTCCTTTCTATTTTTTAATCTTTCAATTTAGTATTATGTGTAAAGAATGGTACCTTTACATACATGTAGTGGTGTCTGAGTGTTCAAATCCCAAAACCTGACAGTTGTATCACCAGACCCACTAGCTAAGTGTTTACCCGAAGGACTGAAGCTTGTAGATATAACCGCTTCAGCATGGCCAGGTATAGAACTATAAATATTTACAACACTAGTGAAGTCACATATTTCTCATAAAATCTTATTGAAAATCTAAATGACATACCTTGTGCAACGAGTGACAGGTCTGACTCTGAATACAGCCTGTTGCTGGTATATTATTTCAACAACTTCTTCAGAATTTATTTTTACTGTGTCTAAAACATCCTCTAGTGATGTAGTAATTTCTACATCTTTAACGAAGAATAAAAATGGTTTATCTTCCTGAAAATATGTTAAAAAGTTAGAACTACGTACAAATATTAACAATTAATCATAAAACATGGACTAAAGTTACAAAACTAATGTGTTTACTTCTTGAAGCAGAGCATTGCAGATGAGTGTAAGTTGTTCTTTTGTAACATTTAACGGTAAGTCGAGGGGACTTCCGATTTCTTCTCCTGTGTCCGATTTGAATTTAGCCTGAACACAGCTAGGTAAATCACTGTCTACGTCCATTCTATCCTATTAAATAAAAAATATGATACATGCGTAATAATAACCTCAAATGTAAACAAGACCACATTGACGTTTTACGTTGGACCTGACAGATTTTTGGTTTAAGATTTCATAGTTTTATAGGCTGGTAATCTTTAAGCCAAACTTTATTTTCGAACCCTAACTTTCCCTTTTTTTAGGTGCAGCAGGCAAAGAGCCGACGAACAGTCAGAGAAATGCCTCATTGGTCTCAATTACTTCAGTTCTTTTTATTTAAGCCGTATCTTGTTTTATTTTTTATATTTTATCTGCATAAAATCTGCAGTTGATTACTAAAATATCTAATATGCCAACACTGCAGTCTTTGACATAAATATTTATCTCATGGCAATATTATTTAGATGTCCGACGTCGGCGTTTCACTTACGTGTTATGTTTATAATTTTATTTATTAAAAGTTTTATACCGCTAACATAAAATGAAATTCAAATATATTTTCTTTTTGTGCTGGGTTACGGTATACTGTGACGAACATACTCATACGTATACAGATGGAGAACAAGTAGTACTATGGATGAACACCGTAGGCCCATATCACAATCGTCAAGAGACTTACGCATATTTTTCTTTGCCGTTTTGTGCCGGCACCAAAGTCACCATTGGCCACTACCATGAGACCTTATCCGAAGCGTTACAGGGTGTTGAATTGGAATTCAGTGGTTTGGATATAACTTATAAGGACAATGTACCAGCTCAGGAATTTTGTGCCATAGAATTAAATGATCAATCCTACAAAGCTCTCGTGTATGCTGTGAAGAATCATTATTGGTATCAGATGTACATAGATGATTTACCAATTTGGGGTATTGTAGGTGAAATAGACGGCGATCACCACTATATTTGGACTCACAAGAAGTTTGACATTGGGTACAATGGTAATAGGATTGTCGAAGTCAATCTCACTGCCGAAAATAAAGAGCGACTCACTCCTAATGCCAAGATTGCATTTACCTATGAAGTGAATTGGAAGAAGAGCAACATTCGGTTTGAGGATCGTTTTGACAAATACTTGGATCCAAACTTCTTCCAACACAGGATACATTGGTTTAGTATATTTAACAGCTTTATGATGGTAATATTTTTAGTTGGTCTAGTTTCTATGATTCTCATGAGAACTTTACGTAAGGACTATGCAAGATATTCAAAAGATGATGATTTGGATGACTTGGAAAAGGATTTAGGTGATGAATATGGTTGGAAGCAGGTGCATGGTGATGTTTTTAGACCTGTTCCACATTTGGCTATGTTTTCTGCCCTTGTAGGTGCTGGTTACCAACTTACAGTGGTCACTCTAGCTGTTATCATTTTCACTATTTTTGGAGAGCTGTACACAGAAAGAGGTTCTTTACTTTCTACTGCCATTTTTATTTATGCTGCTACTTCACCTGTGAATGGTTACTTTGGTGGTTCTTTGTATGCAAGAATGGGTGGAAAACTATGGATAAAACAAATGTTACTCTCAGCTTTCCTCCTACCAGTACTTGTTTGTGGGACAGCATTCTTTATTAATTTCATTGCAATGTACTATCATGCATCTCGAGCAATTCCGTTTGGCAGTATGATTGCTGTTATGTCAATTTGTACATTTATTATCTTACCCCTAACTTTAGTGGGTACAGTTCTTGGAAGGAATTTAGCAGGACAGCCTGATTATCCTTGCCGTATCAATGCTGTCCCTAGACCCATTCCCGAAAAGAAGTGGTTTATGGAGCCATTTATCATCATTATTATGGGAGGTGTTCTGCCTTTTGGATCTATATTTATTGAAATGTACTTTATCTTTACATCATTCTGGGCTTACAAAATTTACTATGTCTATGGATTTATGCTGCTAGTGTTCCTGATCCTCATGATTGTAACAATCTGTGTGACTATAGTTTGCACATACTTCTTGCTGAATGCAGAGGATTACCGCTGGCAATGGACCAGCTTCCTGTCTGCTGGTAGCACTGCGCTGTATGTTTATTTATATTCATTCTATTACTTCTTGTTCAAGACTAAGATGTATGGACTGTTCCAAACAACATTTTACTTTGGCTACATGGCTCTGTTCAGTCTTGCTCTTGGTATAATCTGTGGCACCGTAGGATATGTGGGCACCAGCATATTTGTTAGGAAAATCTATTCAACTGTTAAAATTGATTGAAAACCTCCATGAAGGGTGTTGTGTAAAATTATTAATCTTAGTATAAATTTTAATTATGTATTCATTACATAAAAATGTGTTTGCTGCATGGATATGACAATTGTTTTTTTTTTTCTAAATTATTATTATGAAAATAAATGCATACAGTAAATTTTTGACTAATACATTTTGGAGACATTCCTAGAATAATTGAGCCTTGTACATTAGTGGCAAAATTGTGTTAAGATAATGAAATACATGTCGGGTTTATAAACATTTTACCAGTTAATGAATTTTGAATGTTTTTGGTGTTTAGATTGATTAAATTGAATATGTTTTATCCTTGTGTAGTTCTGATAGTGTAAAAGCAATATTTAGTAAATGATAAGGAGTCTACAACTTTAGAGTGAGATCAGTATGTTTGATGATTACAGCAGACTGATGTTAATATATGAGCAGGTTAAAAGCAAATATGCTTCAGTCCAAATTCTTGATGTTTTAAACTAGGTATTTTAAATTATAGCTTATTAAATGTACTAAAACATGGTATAGCTAGTTTTCAAATAAAAAAATGGTCTGAAGTATATTTGCTTTTACTCTTCATTTGTGATTTGAGCAATTTCTTCATATATATTCTTAGTCTATTAATAGATCCTAGTGATTACTGTCTTTTTTGTTGTTTATGTTGATTAGAATGTAAATATATTTTTTTTATCTCGTTTATTTAATTGCATACTTCAAGTAGTTTATAAATTATATGTGAAATGTATTCTAATGCAAGTAAAACATGTTTCTAATCTGCTTCCAGAGTATTTTATTCAGTGTTTATTAAATGGATGTACATTTAAGTTCAATGCCTTTTGCGTACAATAATATTAAAATAGATTCAAGACAGAGTTGTTGTAAAATTTGTTTATGCTATAACATATTTCCTTTGACACCAAATGTTTTGAGATTTAAAATTTGTGTAAATAGCATGTAGTAAATATAGAATAATGTTGACACACTTGCGCAGGTTTAACTTTTTCTTTATATTTGTTATTTCTTATATCAATGAGTTAGAAGAGAATCTGTAATTTTTTTATGCCATCCATAATTAGTTTATTTTGTAATGTCATCAATGCAATAAAGGTGACTATGTATTACAATGCTGTATTTCATTTATCTCCTTTGATTTTATATTTTTACTACATAAAACAATAAAAGGCATTTTTATCAGATTTGCAATGTTATACTTCTGATACTGAGAGGAACATTTGTCAATTACTCGCACATGGTCCTTTTTTATAATTCTTTTGGTCAATAAATAGTGTTTTATTAATTTTTATTTTAAAATGTTGAGTTATCACCAATGTTGGTTAAAAAAATACGGATTAAATTCAGAACCTGCTCATTTTTAAAGTGTATCAAGAATAAAACAGCAGTCAGCATAATATAAATATATTTCTGTTAATCTTTTTCGCCTTCGACAAATTCATCAACATCCACGGCTGCCTTTCTAGACTTTTTGCCGCCGGGAACCTTTGCATTGAATGACTCCGCCGTCCTCTTCCTCAGCATCTCGATGTCTTCGTTCTCATCAGTTTGGTCAGCCCACTCTAACACTAATCGTCTACCGTAAAGATGAGTTGATTGACATAATGCTTCAAATGCACACTGAAATAACATTGCGGAACATTTAATCAAAAATAATTTGAAGGTTTACATAATATAATTTAACGTAGGCGTTGTCACGCCATGGTCTAGATAGGTTCAGGGGAATCACTATTATGGCTTTTTTGAGGTTTTTATATCTATTTTCCATTTTTAGATTAGAGAATCTAGAGAGGCGACCATGACATTAGGTGTTATAAAACATACCTTAGCATCGGCCTTCGAGTGGAAATCTACAAAAGCAAATCCACGATGTTGTTCCGACCCTGTCGTCAATTTTTTAGGTAATCTCAAAGTCTTTATTTCGCCGAACGCCCTGAAAACATAAAACAAAGCCGACATTAATCATTGAAATAAAACGTGTTTTTGTTTCAATCAGTTTAATAGACTCTTATCTGGAAATAGATAATGTTGGTGCAATTGTATTTATAGCGTATTCATTACCGTTAGTAGATAATAAAATATGCCTGAACATGTCTGGGATATTAATGTATTATGTTTGTACCTGAATATTTCGTGAAGTTCATTCCTGTTGGCTTGGAAGGGAACATTCCTGACGAGTAGTTTAGTTCCATTTTGAACTGTTGCCTTGGAGCTCTTCTTCGATGTTTTTACTTCAGCTCTGTTACCAATGTTTTTAATAGATCAAACAGATTAGAAATACAATATGATGTATTATTTTTATTCTTGAGTATAACAAAAGTTTCTTAAATCATAATACTAATTATTCATTCCAATGTTTGCTACTTTTATGGTAAATTTGTAAAGCAAAAAAATGATTTTGTATTTGTAAAAATTAAAAAAATCCACAATATAATAAATCAAAAAAGAAGATTACTTACACATTTCCTCTCTCAGATCTCTTTAATTCTAATGTTTTTCCGTCTAAAGTAGAACTCTGCAATGTCTTTAGAGCTTCATTGGCTTGCGTTTTTCTATAAAATTGTACAAAACCATATCCCATAGAAAGGAACTGTCCAGGATTCTTGGGATCTTTTTTCTTTGCAACAACCACACTGTGTATTTTTCCACAACTTTTGAAATGCTGAAAAAATAAAATAATAACAATTAATTAATTATGGTTACGAATCTTTTACATTTTAAAAGTTCTTATAAAATAGTATTTTTAAGTACCTCTTTTAAATTATTCTCAGTAGTTTTAAAGTTAAGATTTTTAACGAAAATTGTACTGTCATTTTCTGGCATTTCTGTGTCCTCTTCTATTTTTTCCTCCGCGGCTTTTTCTTCGGTTTTCTCCGCTTCTGATTTTTCGGCTTTCGATACTTTATCGGTTTTCGTCGTTATTTCGGTTTTCGATACTTTCTCTTTACTTGATTCCTTTTCTTGTTTAGCTTCTATTTCTTTATTGTCAATAGTTTTTACGAAAACATTCTCCGGTGCCCATTCTAAATATAATGGGGCTGCTTTGAATTGTGAATAAGCTAGTTTATTAAATGCTTTCTTTGCTTCGAATGGCTCGATAAAATCTACCAATGCAGTGATACCATGGTTCGGCATAAGGAATCTTGCAATTTGTCCATGTTTTTCAAATAACGCCCTAACTTCATCTTTGTCAGTGTCGGATGCTAAATTTTTAACAAGAATGCAAGTTTTTGAACGCTTTTGCGCTGGCTGCGATAAAAAAGGATAATTATGTAGATTAAATAATTAGTAAAAAATAACGAAACATATGCAATCGAAATTACCTTATTAAATGCGTCGAGATAGACTCCATTACTCTCCAAAAAGTTTTTCGTTTCAGCAACCAACTGAGTTTCACCTAGGGCCAGTCTGACGGCGGCGCTTGTATCTAAAATGCAAGAATAATTAAATTACTAACAAAGTAATTCTGTGTGGAAATAAATAGATTTTGAAATTTTATTAATGAAAACACTTACTTTTATTATTGTCATTAAGCAATTGTTCTTTAGTAGTGCCGTAGTTGGTGGCGATGACGTCAGCGACGGCGTTCGCGCCCAAAAACAATGTGTTCCAGTTGTGAGAGGACTTCGCCTGCGCTTTTAGTTTCTTCGCTTTCTTCTCTTTAAATGAAAGGTCGCCTGAAAAATTAAGGTAAAATATATGCACAAACATATCACAACATACAAAAAATGGAACTGCTTACATTCTAACTTGTTCAAAAATTGATTTTTTTAAAATTCAATCTACAAACAATTTAATCTAGGATCCCATTTTTTTTAATCTATACTGATCATATAAATAGGAAAGATTTGTATTTTTGTATGTATTGAAAGAACTCAAAAACTACTCAGCCGATTTAAAAAAATCTTTCACCGTTAGAAAGGCAATTTGACTGTGAGTAACATAGGCTATATTTTTTTAATTTCACGAGGGCGAAGGCCCGAGCAACAGCTAGCTAAAACAATTATTAAAATAACCGTCGGAGATATTAAAAATAATTAGTGGTTTAAGCATTGGTGTTCATGATAGCTTTACATCTATGTATCAAACATACTGTCGTCTTCTTCCTTCTCCAGCTTTTCAGTTCTAGCAGGTAAGAGATGCAGCATTCTGCCGCAGAAGGAGGTGCCGTCCAGTTCCGTGTACGCCTTCAGCGCGTGCTCCGGCATCACGAAGATAACTGTCGCAAAACCCTTTGGCTGCCGCAGTATTGGATCTATCGGCATGTTGACTTCGGCTATTGGACCTGATTTAAAAAAAATAACAAGTTTTTCAAATACATTTTTTAAACACACTCAAGGAAACAGAAACAATTGTTGTCTCGTCAATTATTGGATAATGAAACATTAGATTTGCCAAATAAGTAACAAAATTATTTTAAATATTTGTACCTATTGCAAAAATCTTTTACCATATTTTTCGAAAGTCTTCGTCACTTCTTCTTCAGATACCACGTAAGGTAAATTTCGCACGAAGATGCTACCGCTTTCTCCTATACTTTCTTCATTACTTGTTTGCTAAAAGAAACGAAACAAAACAAATATTACAAATAAGGCAATTATTGATCGTAACACATTCTGTACTACTGTCTCAGTCATTTTTAAATGAAAGAATAATGGCATTGAAAGTGTTAACGTTATTATTGTATGAAATATTAAAAAAAATATAAAGTAATATTTACCTCTTGTCTCTTTTTAGTGTTGATCTGTTCCTCTTCTTCATCTTTCTTGGTCTGGCTTTCATACTTATGAACATGTACCCGATGACTGCCTGAATCAATAAAAAAAAATTATAACTAAATAGAGGTTTTAATTTAAAAAAGTATATATTTGCATTACTTATTAGTGTAAATCAAAGAGATTGTATAATTTTGCAGCAAAACATAAATTAATACATACCTATAAACAACTTATCCTTAGCAAGTGCCTTTTGTAATTCTTTTTCAGTTCTAAATCCTACATAACAGAAGCCGGCAAGCTTCTTTCCCTTTCCGAGGGGTAACCTCAGGGAAAATGGCACTAACGGTCTGAAAAATTCTTTTATGTCTTTCTTTTTACATTTAAATGGTAAACCATTTATCTGAAAATTAGGAAAAACAATACTAGTTATCAAAAATATGTATTATGTTAAAAATAGATAGACATCTTACTAATATACATGGGCTTCACACTTATGTTTTTTTTTTAATTCCACATGGACGGAGTCGCGGGCGAAAGCTAGTGATCAATAAAAACAAGTACAAGGTATCACTTCACTACCATGTTATTCATTGTAATGTAGATTTACTCTATAATATAATATAATATAATATAATATTTATTACACAAGGCAACCTACAACAAGAGCCAAGACTTTCATGAAATGTATGCAAAAGAGACCATAAATAAATTATTATTATTATTTATATATGGAATACTCACTTTACAATAAAACAATGGCCTGTTTCTAACTTTCTTGGGTTTATCTTCCTCTGCATTTTCATTTACTTTGTCAGTGTTAGCACCATCCACTTTTTTCATTAGCAACTTCATGTACTGGAATATAAATAAAAAATGCAGTTTTTAATGTACTTGACTTCATTGCCCAACTGTAAAAGAAGGCTATTATTGTTATTAATTACATTTTTTTTACTAGCTGTTGCTTTCGACTTTGTCCCCTTGAAGTTTAAAAATATAGCCCATGTTACTCACAGATAAATTACCTTTCTAACTGTGAAAGAATTTTTATCATTAGCCCAGTAGTTTTTGAGTTATTTCAATATATACAAAAATACAAATCTTTTAATATTAGTTGTTCAGGAATTAGGATAACAAATTAAGGTTACTCAAGTCTTAAATTACCTCTAAATCACTAATTTGCTTATTAGCAACTTTCTCTTCACTTTTTCTAACTTCTGGTACTATATTTTTTTCTTCTTTTCTGTTAATATTTTCTTCCTCATTCTGTTCAGCTTCATTGCCACTATCTTCATTGTCACTTTTTTTAACTTCCTCTAACACTTCCTTAATCCATGATGTTTTTTCATTGACATGAGCTTCTATGAATTGATCAAATAAAGGATCACCTTTATGCTGTGAACAAAAATTTTGTATACACTTCAATGTTAATATGCTAAAGGCCTGTCCCACACAATTGTTTGATAACAATCCAACATATATGATGGAAATATCTGAGGTTGTTCCCTTATCTAACATTGATGTTATTTTTAAGCTTTCTGAGCCTCTATCAACCAGTGGTGGGACAGATCCTTAAACTTATAAAAATTGTAATGGCATTGAACATGTTAAATTATTCATTACTAGTAGAATTATTCAAGTTGAAATTAATCAGATTGGTTGTCTAAAGAAATATGGTTTATTTTAGTATAGTAGTATAGTTTATTTTGCATGTGTTTGCATTTTTATTAGAAAAAAAAGCTATGCTAACCTTTTTAAGCAGCTCTCTTATTTTGTTTTTATTTCTTTCTGCACTTGATAGTTTCTGTTTCGTTTGCTTTGGTATATCTTGATCATTTTTATTAAGTTTTTTATAAGCTGAGCTATCAGTAGCATATTTGCTCCAAGCTCTTGGCTTCTTTTCATCGCCTAAATTTGCGCAGAATTCTACATTTATTTTCATAGAGTTGACACATGTGCCATCAAAAAACTCCTTTGCAACAGAAGCCTGCTCTTCTGTTCTGTATCCAATGAAGCCGAAATTTCTAAACTTTCCATCTTTTGTATATTTCAATTGGACATCTGTAACTTCTCCTTTTTGACAAAATAAATCCTTAAGTTTATCAACTGTAACCTAATAGGAAATAATTTATTTTTCAGTTGTTTTATAACATAAAGTACATTTAAATAAGAAGTAAATCTTACCTTGTTTGGCAAATTTTTAACTATTAGCCGAGACATTGTAAATATAAATTATATTGAAGAAGTCAAGAATATCCACATGTTGATATATTAAATATTTCTAAATAAAAACTTGTAAGTAGTTTGAGTACTAACAAAGTTTTATAATTGAACAAAGATTTATTTTACAAATCGCTTGGGTTTATGTCATTTATTTCTGACTTAAAACTCAATCACAAAGTGCGTAAACACAAAAATAAAGTTTGTGTCCTTCATTAATGATTGACATTCTGTCACACGTGGATTTTGACATTGACATTTGATACTGACATCAAAGAGAACACTATCGAACGATTAGTACATTTTCGGTTTTTCGGCTAAACATCACTATTTGACATTGACAGTTGTTATCGTTTTAAATGACAATTGTCAACTTGGTCAACACAGCTGATCTCTTTAAGAGTTGTGTATTGTGATTAATTAATTTAAACTGAAGTGAAATTCGACAGTATAAAGCAATTTTCTTAAGTTGTATTGATAAGTCGAATAAAACTTGATAAGAAAATGTCCACTGCTATGACATTTGGTCAAAAACCATTTATTCCAACACCACCTGATAAAGGCAGTTTTCCTTTAGACCACGATGGTGTTTGTAAAAAGAGCATGACGAGATTTATGAAGTGCTTATTTAATAACAATAATAATAACTCTTTATGTCGGGATGAAGCAAAAGAATATTTATCGTGCAGAATGGAGAATAACCTAATGGCTAAAGAAGACTGGTCTAAGTTAGGATTTAAGAATGGTGGCAGTTGAAATTATTTATATTTAGAGCGTAGGTAAGCAATTGTGTATATTAAATTTATAAAATAATTAATAAAATAAGCAAAGTATTTGATTCTTAAATTTCCTTATTTGGATGTTTTAATATGTTATGTTTCATATAAAATAATTTGCGTTACTGACTTATGTACACATTCATCATCATGGTCTTTTACATAATAAACTTCTAAATAGGATTTTTTGATAGTCGGCAATGAAAAAAAAAATACTTCAGTTTCCTTCTATTGTAAGAGAACAAGTCAATTAGATCAGTTATTTATTGTACAGTCTGTCCAATTAAACTATTAGGGATACACAATTTGACTAGAGGTTTTGTGAAATTGCTCTATTATATTCATGATTATTAAGAGTGTCGGTGGTTCATGGCACTTGTAATCTACAGGTTCGAATCCCGCCCTGTACCAATGTGGTTTTTGTTCTCTTAATTTCATATGTATATAATTTACCTGACTTTCTTATGGTGAAGGAAAACATTATGTTGAAATCAGCACATATCGGCGAAGAAATTCAAAGATATGTGTGAAGTCAACCAACCTGCAGTGGGCCAGTATGGTTGACTAAAGCCTAGTCGCCCCAACTTTGGGTAGGTTCCGAACCCCTCAGTGGGGATGTATAGTGAGCTGATGATGATGATGAATAATATGCATACCAACGTTAATAAGGCAAACTATGTTTGTCTCCTTTTGTTCTAAGACATAGTAAGCTCTATTAGTAAGGAATTTTCATTATTAGTACATATACAACTAAAGATGAAGATTATTGTTAATGCCACTGGTTACATAATAGTTAGTTGGAGGGAAGAAATTTGGGTTACTCTTTATGTGCAAATAAAAGTCGACAACTTGTAGAAATTTATTTATTTACGCTTATAGTAGTTAAACATGTTTACCTAAGATTTAAAAACTGCAAACTGCTTACTATTTACTGAGTACATTATTTTAGACAAGGATAAAAATTTTGATATATTTTTAATGCCAACAACTGGCCTTTTTCATAAAAGTAAATATCACAGTTATTATTAAATTATTTGTGACCAAAACGAAATTGTAAAAACGCCTATTATATTCTAGACTAAAGTAATGAGCGACTTGAGAGGTATGAAAATGCTTAAAATACAAGTCACATTGTTGTTGTTACTTAATATATAATGTCTATATACTTAAGAGTACATCTGTCAGTAAATCTATGTAAAAATGTATGTAATTTATAGATTTTCTGCTGATTGCACAAGAATGTTAACATATACAGCAAAGTAGAATATAGTTAATACATAATGTGGAAGAAAGAGCTTAAAAACGAGCAGACCAATATAATATAAAATTTTACAATTAGAATGGACACAACAGCAAGATACAAAAATACCAAGTTGAATTTATTCTGTACAACAACTAACTATATTAAGCACCATTTTCATTACACGGGCTTCTGTTTTTTTTCCCATTCATAAATTGGCAACACAAGCATACAATTGTTAAATGTGGATATTTTTTTACAAGTCTCTTAAGGCCATACATTTTGTATATCATAAGCTATAATTATAAAGTTGATGAGTACATATTTTACCATTAATCGATAACTATGACTGACTAATACAATTTACAAATTACAGTATATGTGTACCTCTTTTAACCAGCATAAGAGATATAGAACTATATTTCATTTTCTAATTCTAATAAATATTTTACATCAGAAATGTTTAAAGGTAACCTTTAACTTCTACTAAGGCATCCTTGTGGATTAATCTGTGACTAATATTATTTTTTTTATAGTTATAAAGCCATGTAATGTACAAACTACTTTTGGCTAAATATTTGGAGACTATAGACATTTTTGCCCACCAGATGGCGTGTTGTAGTAATCAAAAAAGGAACTGCAAGATTTTATAGTAACATTATTTTTTTCTTATCAGTTAAAATGAAGATTACAAGACTTTCATTATAATTTAACTAGATTTAATGGTTGGGCTTTTCACGTTAGAAAGTTAAAATGATTAAAGACAGGAGATATACTATAATATAGGATATACTATAAAAAATTGCGACATTGACTTTTATTAATAATGCTGTTAAATATGATATAAAAATTACCCATTTAGTACATAAAATATTATGCAAATAATGCTTAAATGCAAGATATTATACGAACGTCAACGCCATCTAGTGAACTATACCTAATTAATTTATTACCTTATTTCATATAAAATGGATAATCATTAGTTTCAATACAACACAAACTGTACAACAGCTAAATAAATGGTGTTATGTACCTTACATTTCATAAAAAACCAAGCACTCAATCATGTTGAGATCAAAATGTACAAATAACATTTAAAATTATGCCTCGTAACTAGAATTATCCTAATTAGAACTACGTGGACGCGGATTTAAGTTAACACTAACATCGGCAGTGAATAGATTTTGCGCATTATTTAAAATTAAATCTAAATTAGTTCTTCAGACATTCATAGATATGTACTTGTTGTTTTGGTAGATGTTGACAGATGTTTTTACTCCGTATGTACATTTTTGTTTATTATTAGTCCACATAAAAAAAACCAGTCTGATTAAATTATTACGATCATTATTCCTATACAAGCCCTGTTATAATTATATAAATACGCAATCGAGATTTAAAAGATTATTAAAAGATTAATACTATTTTAATATTATGTAACTTTTGAAGTTGTTTATAGTATAAGATACTTTACTCGTATGTATATTAAAAAATCGCTATTACACAGAATAGTAGAAAAGGTCGGTAGATTATAGAAGTCTCCACGGCTTAATATTTACAAATTATATCGTAAGATTGTCAGTATTGCAATGAAAACGCAATTTAAGATAGTTTTGTTATGAGAGACGGCAGCAGAGCTCGGCGATCGTAACGTGGATCCTGGTGCGGGTAGAGATCTGAATGGTTCCCGCCTGCCGGCGCGCTCGGTGGGGCAGCCCATCCAAAATGGCGCCGAAGGTAATTGCCGCTCTTGCTCGACTCTCATACGCAGGTCGTTGAATTTCCAATAACCTCTGCCTTTGAAGAAGTAAGTTTTACCTGCAAAAGAAAATTAAGTTAGTTCCGTTCAGTTGTTTTGGAGTTTCTTGACAACTAACAACTGTTCATCCATTCAAATATTAACATTTCAATTATAAAAACAATTAAGGTTTATGAACACATGTTGAATTATATGTGTTTTTACAACGAACCATAGAGTTTACAACGTGCAGTAAAAGTGAAGAATGTGTCTTACCGTCTTTCCATTGGAACACACTGTCAATGTTGTATCCGACGCCTTTCCACATGGCCATGTCGCGTGGGTAATCTAATTCCACTCTCCCTACATCTTCATCAAACCTGAAAACCACAAATATTACCTATTATTTTTTTGTCGTGTACGACTACCGAATGAACCGAAATGTGAGCATATCCAGTTAGAAAAGACAGAATTAATGTACGAGAAGTTACCAGAGTATCTACCAATGAAGACGTGCATTAGTCATTAAATGGTCTCTAAAAAGGACCCACAATGTCAATTAGTATGTGAAATAACATATATATACACACTTAAATAACACTACACTTAAATAACTTACTTCCAATAGACGGAGCCGCTGTAGAAGTATGTTTTGCCATTATGTCCCCATACCATAGCTGCGTCTAATTTCTCCAAGCTTTCCGGCAAGCCAAGTTCTCTCAAGCGTTTTGGATATCCCGTCACTAGGTATTGGGAGTCGAATAAATATAGCTCTTTACCTAAAAACAAAGTTTATATTACTATTCAAAGAAAATTTTAAATATTTTTTTGCACGGTTTTTGATTTAATTTGGCTCTTATTCATATATGTCTCCTAGTATACCTACCTACAAAAATAGCGATTTTTCTATCAGGTCTTTCATACACAGCATCAACATGTGTCAGATTTCTCGGCAGTTCAGTCCACATCCTATTAATTTCAATGGGATAGTTCGGGTAGTGTCCGGAGGCTCCTATCCTCCAGTGATACTGTGAAATTATTATATTATAATAAACAATAAATAATTAAATTAAAATGGAGTTACTCACAGAAGCTCAATTTTGTAATCTAGGTGTTAACCTAGATTTACTTAGCTACTCACTTTATTTTTAAATATGAAGAGTTCGTTGCGTATGAGTGCAACAGCGTCGTAGTTGGTATTGCAAGCATCCGGTTTGTCCGGAGCCGGCGTGGTGTGCTGCGGCGCGCGGGTCGGCGTGAGGCGCGGCTTTGCAGTCGTCTTCACGGGGTAGTGCGGCTTGTACCGCGGGTCGCTCGGACTGTTAGCCCGTGGGTAGGTCGGATATTCCGGACGAATGTGCGGGTAGCGAGGGCGGTAGGTGGTAGTCTGAGTTGTGGTTTCTGTCGGTCTAGGATAATGATTGTGATTTCTGCGAGGATGCTCCTCAGTTGCGTTATAATGACGACGTTCCGGATAGTATGTCGGAACATTCGTTCTATCTGGGTAGTTTGGTCTATCGGGGTAGCTCGGTCTATCCGGATAAGAAGGTCTGTCCGGATAGGTTGGTCTCTCTGGGTAGGTAGGTCTTTCGGGGCTACTTGGTTTTTCAGGATAATACTTAGGATATAAATTCGGATTGCGCGGGTACGGCGTGTAAGGTCGATGGTTCGGGTGATGACCTTGGTGCGTGTTATGGTGATGATGGATGTAAGGTCTTCTTGTGGTTGTTGTAGTCGTGGTGGTAGTCGTTGTTGTTGTCGGTGGTGGGGTTTCTATCGGTCGGTAGTAAGGTATCTTCCCCCATTTTCTTTCAGTTTCTTTTGAGCCTAAGAAAAAAAGATAAGTAAAATTAATTTATTTTTAATTATTCTATTCTAGGTTTGACTTTTGTCTTATTTTATATTGACTTGAACTTACCATACATTTGCTGTATACCGTTGCGGTCATCTTCTGGCAATACGAAATTAGGCTGGATACCTTGATACCAAGGAAACATAAGAGCTCCTTTGACGGAACTGTGGCTGAGGCCTAGAGAGTGACCGAATTCGTGGGCAGCCACCGCGAACAAGGATGTACCTGCAAAAATAGTTTTAAGTAACAATCATTTAGTATTCCAGTACATACTACAATAATAAATCGAAGATAACTTAGTTCTCTATCTTGAATACAAAAATAATATTTTATTTAAATAAGGTAAAGAGCGTAACGATTTTAAGTTCTTGAAGTCGTTTATCAACGTTCTCGTATTGAAGTTCGACATTACAATATAATAGTCCCTACGAGCGCCTAAGCCTTATTAACATTTAATGTAGAGAAGTTTAAGCAATTTATTTCGTATTGTTGGCACTACGATAATGTTACATAAGGCTACGGATTCAATTCATGTTTTCTAGGGTGAGTAGGTTTCTAAACGGGGAGTCCACCCTGCGCCTGCCTGTTTCCATGTTTGTGTAAATTATCAGGTGGGTACATGTAAAGCGTGCACACTTCGCGCTGCGGTCGCTCCTCGTATTGCGTCGCCTCCGTGTTTACACGTGCATCAAGCATAGCGATTGATTAATGCACAGTCGGGGACGTTTATTTCCTATCCATTTCAGGTCATTTGATGCTCATAATGCAATTAAGTCGAAATCTTCTCATAGCAAAACATACAAATGTACGTGCAAAATTGTAGCTTTTACTTTTATGGCGATTATTTGCTGAACGATATTCAATCCTAAGTGGTAAGTGAATTTAATTCTTTAACATTATGTTCTCCATGTGATGAACACCGTTGATGCCCCTGAACACGTGCATTGGATGTACACCGTGATGCGATTTTGTTCATTAACCCGCCTCTGTCCATAGTGTACAAATGAAGGTTACGTGCATCGAATTTAAACGACTTAACTGCTATTTAATTCCGCGCTGTGTCCAATTGATGCTAAGCTTATGTACAACAAATCGTGGATAATCATGTTACGTCTGCGATGATGTGTATTTTATTTATTATATAGTAGTAGCAACATGGTTGCTTAATTGGTTTCCGTCCTTAAGTGATAGTACGTAACAATAAATAAATAAAACATGATTACAAAATACTAATACGTCATAATAATCACTTCAGATATCATCATTTGTTTTGAAGGAGAAAATGATCACAAATTGTAACAAAGGTCTAATTCCAATTAACATTATCGGGATAGCTTAACTGGCTTTCTGAAAATCGTAACAGGAAGGCACGTTAACAACATAGGTGAGGGAGGTGTTCCGCACGCCCCCCCATACCGCCGCACCCCCGCGGCGCCATGCCCCGGCATTTGCATGTCAAAACAGCGCTGACCACGACACGCTCATTTCCGAACGAGCTTTTCGCGGAAAAACTACACTTTCGACAGAAGCTTAATTAACTGCCTCATATGGCCTCTTTCATGTCAGTTGCTTCGTGTAACTTTTATTTAAAACCAGGGTATATTGCTATCGCATGGTCGCGTTTTAATTATTATTACCGTTGTACACAACATTCAATGTGGACGTGCAAATGACAGTCGATTCTCATTGATATAAAACGGAAACAGTTTCACAATAACTGATACAACATGGGACGATTGCTAGCAAAAACCACTCGATTAATTTTAAAGTGTAAAACTTAAATAATGACATGTTCATAGTTTACTGTTATTATTGTAGACTTAAAATGTCACCAAATTAGCAACTTTAGCTTCGTTAAGTTATTCATTCCAGCTTACCGTCTTCATCGTCATTCTTTGGCTGCAGCAGCCAGAGCTCGTCATCGTCAAAGTGTGCGTCACCTCCGCGGCCCGAGCCAGGGAAGAACGCGTGGGCAAGTATAGAGCCGCGCCCGTCGAATGGGTACGCGTCGTCATGGTAACGCCTGAAAGAAAAATATACTTTTTATTTCTTATAGTATTAGTTGTCATCAAATTAATTTAAGAATTGGTAAGTGGGGTAGGTTTCAATATTATCGTTTTTTTTTTATCAAACAATTGATTGCTTTAAAAAGGGACCGAAACTGATCTAGGATATCCAAGTAATGATTTTAAAATGACGACCCAATTTGTTCAAATATCAAAGACATTTTTTAATTCAATAAACAAATGTTAATTTAGCCGCTTCTATAGCTCTTTTTGCTCACTGTCGCTGCGAGATACCCAATTAAAATAGTCATATAGCGGGTAACGTATTCATTCTGCAACAAACAGCGGGCTCCAGTGGATAGAGTCGACGGAGCAATCAAACTTGCTTCCCTCGGGTCGCCTGCCCACTACCGACCTAATCATTTTTCGCAACAACAAAACAGCGGAAAGACCAATGCATATTTCACGCAATATTACCCAGGTTGCGTTATTGAGTTTTCAAAGTGAGAGCTCCCAGTATAATACTGAAGTTTGATAATCACAGAGTAAAGCCAAGCAGATATGACTTAATTCATTTTCTCTTTACAATAAAAAGTATAATAATTTAAGAGTGTTGTAAACTATGACCTTGTCACTCGTAACTTGGGTAGGCTTCAGGAAGACTGGGTGGGGATATATATGAACTGACGACGACAACAAAAACCATCAGATATGTGTATCTTCGAGAATGTAGGATGTATATAGGTATAGGTAGATAGGCACATATAAGTATAGGTTAAACTAGTAAAAAAATATAAAGGAATTATAAATTGGATTTCTGTTTTCTCACTAATATTACATGATTCATTGCTGCAACTGCAAAGCGATACAACTCAATATTTCCGTTTTAATTTCCCCGCTCTCGATGCATTACACAGTTGCACAACTTTTGCGATTAAAGTTTCCACTTAGGTTTTAATATAACTGCTATTTGTGTGTACTTCGAGTTGTAGAAATTAATATGAAATGTATTACGAATTTATAAAGGAGACAACATTATTGAAGAAAATTTTGTATAAGTTAAATTGAAATCAGAAAAGTGTTTGATTTATGATGATTATTGTGATTCATCTATGGCGAAATTAAAAATTTATAATTTGCATCAAGAAGAACTAAAAGAAAATGTATGTTTTAAATAAGAAATTAGAGAATGTACATGCAACTGCTAAACCTATGTTTTCATATGATTTTTGAAATTACAGAAACATTGGCTCTTTGAAAGAACAACATATTGATAATTTCATAAAAGTATTTTCGTATAAATTTTGTAATAAACATGTACCTAGGTTTAGCGATCGGTGTTTACAAATAAGAAATATACAGAGCTCATCGAAGTTGAGCTGCAAGCATCCAATATAGCCGCCGCAATATGTTCGCGATCGTGGTTTTTGTTCGAGGTATTTTCTCATATCGCCGCACTCCACGGTCATCTAATAAACTAATAAAAAACTAAACTTTTCCCATCGCTCATTTGTATGCGATTCCTGTATGGGTCTCTACAGCGTTAATACTGTTTTAAAAATAACTTTTTTTACTTTTGTGTCTTTTTTACTTGTGTTGACAACGTAGTATAAAGTTAAAAAACGCATCCTTCTGAGTGGTAGACTAGTTCCTACAAATTAAAATGTATACACAAAATATAGAGTTCGTTATTTATATTTCGAATGTACCCAAATATGTTTTAATCTAATCCCGTGACGATCCACATGACTAAGGTTGTTGAAAATTATTTTAGCCATTAAAATAAAACGTATTACGTCGTTTTAAATTCAGTAGCAGTAACAATAGAGCAATTTACCTTTGGAAGCAGGTAAGATCTACCTAAGTATTAGATTAACACTAAAGTGGATTTGGCGAGTCACGTTCCTTTAGTGAAAGTGAATCGCGTACGAAAAGGTTTACGCTGAATAGAAATCAATTGCTGGGATAGTCTAAGGTTATTTGGTCGGATAGATTCAGTGTTATTACATAATTTATAAACATATTCAATGAAATAAAGGGTAACCTTTAGTAAAATATGATAGTGTGGTGTTATAGTCTTCATGACGAGCACTAACAAAAATCTTACTAATAGTACATGTCAGACAGATTTGTATATATCTTTAATCATTTTGCTCTACTAACAGAATAGAAGGAACGCAATTTACATTTTGATTCCTATTTGGCTAATTTGAGTAGACCCTAATCTTCGACGAAAAAAGTAACTTACTTTGCAAAGGAGACGACGATGTCCGCGTCGTCTGAGTTGACTTCTGTAAAGGTGAGGCGGGAGGCCTGCTGCCACACGTCGAGAGCACGCGCCAGAACGCTGCGCGTCACGTGCGGGTCTAGCTGCGATGGCCGCCGCGACGACGACAGGCTGACGAAAAAATAACACTCATTTAACATGGGTTTCCACTGTTGCAACAATTAAATATACAAAAATGTCTTGTGTTCTCTTTCAATTTCTGCCTGAGACTACAACAAACAGTGCAAATGCATAATTAAAATTATTCGGTGTAATAACTTAAAAAAAATGTTTGATATGTATTTTAATATGAAATCCTTGTCGAATCTTGAAAGAAACCACTCAGGTTCCTAAAGCAAATATTTAATAACAAAGTATAAGGTTGCGTAATTAAAACAAGTGTCGAGCGAAGAGCCTTTTTGCGGGATTTGTCAACTTCTCAATAAACTTGGGGGAGTTATTTTCTTTGAAAGGCATCTTTGTCGACTTTGTTAATTGTCACAATAATTATTTTTGAAAGCGATCGTACCGGTGTTGTGCAAAATTGCAAAATAATTTAAATATTGCTTCAGTACGAGAGTTGTCTATAGGAATATGATTTCGTTAATTTGCTCCAAACATTTATGAGCATTATGAAGCCCGTTATATTTTAAAATAACTATTATTATATTTGAAATCACTATTTAATCTGTTTTAGTATAGTTTTATACAGTGTAATTGAATACGGGTCTGTGCCAGTGCTGCGGTCACCGTGCACGTTTGTGCAACACATTTGCTTGTATGAAATATCGCTTCTGCGGCTAATTGACACCGTCAAACCCGCCGCGGACATTACAAATATCAATACAATTAGTGGGTAAAGTTAAAATGGGTAATGTTTGTTGCATTTACGCCACACCTTCGATTATAATAAAAAGTAAGTTTATAAAATGGATAAAACGAATTGAAATGAATTTACCGGATCTGAAATATGTACTTACTATATGTTATAATATTATAAATACACACAAAAGTTGAGACGGATGGATAGATATATGTTTGTTAGTCCATCTAATAAAATCTCAACGGAACTCGCTGAAATTAGGCATAGCTGTAGGATATAATCTGAAAATCAATTAGTAATTAAGATTTTTTGTAACTCCATGTGGACGGAGCCGCAGGCTATAGCTAGTTTTGGTATAAAGTCCTACCGATTACTTTCAGTACTCGCTTTTTACTTTCACTAAATTCAGAGCCAAAATAATTCCATAAATGATAGAAAACTTATCGCATTATATAAGTTAAATAAGATGAAAATATTATGATAAGATACTCAAATTATAATTATAGTAACATCAATTTGCATTATTAGTATCTATCATTGTCGACATATTAGTCAGGCATAATTTGATTATTGTAATGAAATGTGATATGAATATTGCGGGTGGCATATCTATTTATTTGCATAATGCAAATAAAATGAATTATCATATCTATGGTCTGCTGCATGAGCTCGAGGCATGGTACACTGCTCTGCGAAATGAGACGTGTGAAATATTTAATCGAGTGTTTTAATGGTTGCGAGCCGCGGCCCGCGGGCGGACTGATGG